AGGAAATTTTCCACCAAGTTTTCTCCTAAGACTTTCATAGTTTTATTTGTTAGCCTTTGATCCATGATTCATTTTAAGCTCATTTTTTATATGGTGAGATATAGGACCTAAGTTCATTCTTCTGTTTGTGTAGAACTGGTTGTTGTGGCATTGTTTATTAAAAGACTATTTTCTTTTCTAAATTGTATTTTCTTGACAATCTTGTGTAAAAAATCATAAATGTAAAGGTTTACAGATTCTAGACATTCTATTGATCTATTGCCATGTCCTTGGGCAAGTAGCCTGTAATCTCGATTATTGCATTTTTGTGGTAAGATTTAATGGAGGCTCCGTGAGTCCACAAACATTGCTTTTCTTTGTCAAGATTGCTTTGAACAACTCATCAGAGTCTCTTACATTTCCCTACGGATGGATGGAGCAGCTGGTCAGTTTTTGGAAAGATGACTACCTGGGCTTCTGATAGGGATTGCGTTGAATCTGAAAATCAATCTGAGGAGTGCTACCATTTTAATAATATCTTGTCATCCAATTCATGTGTATAGGAGGCAATTCCGCTTATTTAGGTATTCTTTACTCTCTTCCCATGATGTTGTGAAGTTTTCAGTGTGTGAGTTTTTTGTTAAATTTATTCCTAGTATTGTATTCTTTTGCTATTAAAATAGAATTGTCTTGTCAACATTATTTTCAGATTTGTATTGTTAGTGTATACAAGTAAATTGATTTTTATATATCGATCACGTATTCTGCAATCTTGCTGAACTTACTACTTCTAATATTTGTGTATGTGCATGCTTTAGGTAGAAAATATATATGTCTTCGTTTTTCCGTGCCGAATTGCTCTACTAGTAGTTTCACTGCCATGTTGACGAGGAGTGGAAGGAATAGATGTCTTTACCATTTTCACAGAATGCTTCCTAGGAAACATTGAATCTTTCACTTTTAAGAATAATATTATAATTGTTCATATATGCCCTTTATCAAATTGAAGAAGTTTCCTCTGTGCCTACTTTGTTAAATGTTTGTCAAGTTTATTTGCTTTTGTCTAATGCCTTTTTGTGCACCTATTGAGATGAACATATGGCTTATGCAAGAACACATTCGTGTTTATATGTTGCATTGATCTTGCATTTCTTGTAGATATCTCATTTCTTGTAGATATCTCATTTGTCATGTTGTAGAATGCCTCTGATATATGACTGGACTCCGTTTTCTAATATTTTGCTGTGAATATTTGCTTCTATATTTGTAAGGCATCATTTTCTTTGCTTGTGATGCATCTGTCTGGTCTTGATGTCAGCATTAGACTGGAATCATAGAATGTAGAGAAGTGTTCTTATTTCTCCTCTTTGGAAGAGTTTATAAAAGGTTGGTTTAAATGCTTCTGTATTTTAAATATTTCTGATCAATAGTGTTTGTACCATTCACATTTTCAAGCTTTCCTTTTAGAGTATCTAGTTCTTTATATTTTTAAAGTTTCTTATAAACATTACTGAGTTGGGCTGTGCATTTTCATCGAATCCAGTTGTTTGCCTTTTATTAGGATGTTTGGCTAATTTACATTATTGTGGATTGTGGATAGGTATAAATCTATCGTTACTGGAATTTGGATTCTTGTTTTCCCAAAATAAAGGTTTACTTTGGGAGACCAATAAGTGTCACAAAGAGAATTTTATTAATAAACTCCTACGAGGAAGAAAAAGCATCTCAACCAGCATAACTAATCTCGGTATTTCTTATTTCCACCTTGTATACACAAATTCTTAAGCATTCCTACTTAAGACATTCCTCCAGTGGGGGACCTTCTGCAGAGGAGAGCAAAATGTTCTGGGAAATGTAGTCTCAAGCTATTGCAAGGACTCTGTAAATGCTCTGTCCAAATCTCCACCTTGCTCCCTCTCCCTGTCTCACTATCACTTGGTATTTTTAAGATCTCTAATTTGTATCTTCTTTACACTTTTGCTTTTGTCTAATGCTTTTTTGTGCATCTATAAATATGATCACATGGTTTCTTTCTTTTTTCTACTAATATGGTGCAATAATGCATTCATATTGATATTGGAGTAGTGTAAATTGTTAATAAATGCATATATATACTGCATTAATGCACATTTTATTGGATTAATGTATATTTCTCACTATGCCATTGTATTAGGACCATCAACTTATTCGGTTTCTTGTTAGCTGTTTTTTTCTCTCCCTCCTCTACATTACAATTCCCTAAAACTCCTAACAATATCAAAGTCCTTGATACCTGTCTCCTCATCTCAGCAAGACTTCCAGTTTTTCTTCTTTGTGATATTACCAGAAATTCCCTCCACGAAGAAACCTAGAACAATAAAATAATAGAGCATTTCCACCCTCTCTCAATGGTCTAGATCATTATTTAATGTCTGAAAATCATACTTACACCACCAGAACTTGAATCCCAAATGATGTTTGAAACATGATTTACACCCTCAAAGACGATAAATAGAAACTACTGAAGATTTACATCGCCATCTGATACTGTAAATCTGACAAAGAAACCATATTTGTTAATTCTATGATAGTGCAGCATAAAGGGGAAAATATACATTTTGTTTCCTGCAGCATTCACCATTAGATAGTGGTCCAGCTCTATTCAAGTCTTCCCTCAACGCAAGAACACTTTATTCTAATAACCTGGAATTCTATAATGCTCACCTGCCTTACATGATCACTCAAGACAAAATGGGTGCATAAGCAAATGTGGTGATGAAATCTGATGGTGCCTGGCAATCAAAAGATATAGCATCTAGGCTCTTAAACACTTGAAGTTAAACAAGCAGCCATCTAGCAGGGAAGCAACAAACCCCACATGGAAAAAGCACACCAGCCTGTCTGATCACAAGGTGTCGGCGGGATCAGGTATCAGGCATCAGAAGACCCAAACCAAAAAATCATATTGATGCGAATGAAGAAGGTTGAGTGGAGACCCAAAGCCCACCTGTACACAATTGGACATCCCTTCACAGAAGGGTCACAAGGAAGGGATGAGCCAGCCAGGGTGCAGTACAGCACTGATGAAACACACAACATTCCTCTAGTTCAGCGGTTCTCAATCTGTGGGTCACGACCACTTTGGGGGTTGAATGACCTTTTCACAGGGGGTTCCCAATTCATCACAGTAGCAAAATTACAATTAGGAATTAGCAACGAAACTAATTTTATGGTTGGTGGTCACCACAACACGAGGGACTGTATTAAAAGGTCGCAGCATTGGGAAGGTTGAGAACCACTGCTCTAGTTCTTTAATGCTTCCTTCGCACACACCCCTCCCCACACTATTATGACCCCAGTTCTGCCTTACAAATCCAGCTAGACCAGAGGATGTACACTGGTACATATAAGAGCTCATGACACACAGAATCCAGGACAGATAAACTCCTCAGGAACAATAATGGGAGTAGTATACCACGAGGGTAGGGGGGCGGTAGGGGAAGAACCAGATGAAAGGGGGATTTGATAACAATGACCTACATATACCCATCCCCCTCAATGAGGATGAACAACAGAAACGTGGGTAAAGGGAGAGAGTGGATGGTGACAACTCTTTGGTTTTGTGTAATTTTTCTTTGCTCAGTAAGTACTTCTTGTAAAATAAAAACTCTGCTTTTACCACATTAATACAGGAAAACATTCAAGGAACAAGAAGGACGCAAAGGAATGCAGACTTTTTGTAGATAATAGAGCTGCTGAAAAGTGCTTACTGATGTGAACTTTCATGATCTGTCAATCAAAAGTGTTGCCTTTAATCTTTATGCTGCATTTCACCAGACTACAACTGTGGCATGAACTTTTATCTTCCAGCATTTGGTCGCTCTTCACTAGGAAAAGAAGGAGGCTAGTTAGAAATGAAAAGGGTGATAGATACGTGCGGGGTTTTGTTTCAGAAGCTAGACAGACAAGGTAAAGATCATGGTAAAGGGAAAATTACCTAGGAAGAAAATAAATCCAGGGAAAAAGAAAAAGAAAAGATACTACTAACGAGTGGCACATTAAAATCCGTAGGAATATGAAATAATTTAAAAGATGAAGAACCTTGTGTGTCTCACAGTCAATTCCAACCCCTGGCAACCCTAGAGGGCTCAGGAGGACTGCCTTAAGGTATTCCTAAATTGAATGTGGAAATTACTAAACAACATTATCAATATTGCATGCAAGTAAAGTTTTACTGAAATAATTCAAAAATGCGATGTAGTAGTATATCAACAGGTAACTGTAAGAATTACAAGCTGGAGTCTGAAAATTATGTGAAATAAAGACATTATTGTTGATGTAAGATGGATCTTGGCTGAGACGGAGAATACCAACACTTATTTGTGCTCACTATGCAAAACCTGTACATAGATCAAGAGGCAGTTCTTTCAACACAAGGGGATATTACGTAGCTGAAAATCAGGAAAGGTGTGTATCAGAGTCATATACTTTCACCATACTATTTCATTCTGTATGTTAAGCAAATCATTTAACAAGCTGAACGATATGAAGTAGAATGCAGCACCAGAGTTGGGGGAGATTCATTAACAATCTGTGATATGCAGATAACATAACCTTGTTCACTGAAACTGAAAAGGACTTTAAGCACATATGGATGAAGAGCAAAGACGGCAGTCTTTATTATGGATTACACTTTACATAAAGAAAACAAAAATTCTCACAACTGTACCCAATAAACGACATTATTATAAACAGAAAATAGATTGCAGTTTCCCAGGTTTCTGTTTACTTGAGACTACAATTAATGACCATGGAAGCATCAGTCAAGAAAGCAAAGGACATAAATCTTCTGCAAAAGACCTCCTTAAAGTATCACAAAACAAAGATGTCACTTTGACTGAGGACTAAGGTGCGCCTGACACAAGCCATGGTATTTTCAACCACCTCTTTTGCATGTGCAGGCTGGATGATGAATAAGAAAGACTGGCGATGATTTGATGCCCATGTAGTATAGTGGAGGCAAAGAATATTGAATAGAAAACATGGACTACAGACAGAATTACAGCTCTTTAGATGTGAGAAGTAGAAGACTTCATTTAATGTGCTTTGGACATGTTATGAGGAATAGCCAGTCCCACAAGATGGACATCATGCCCGGTAAAGCAGAGGCCTAGTGTGAAAAAAAAGAAGACTTTCAACAAAATGAACGGATGCAGTGACTGAAACAAAAGGTTCAAATATAGCTACAACTCTGCGGAATGTAAAGGATTGGACAGTGCTTCACTCCACTGGCTACGGGGACATTATGAGCTGACGCTATGGCACCTCACCGCAGACAGAAGCGGATCACCAGATTTTCTGCCGAGTCGTTGCTGTTTCTCCCTGTTTACAGCTGAGTGTTTTATCCATTGTGTCAGAATGACTTCTTAAATAAAGGAAACTGTGATGGTTAGAATTTTGTCAGCTCAACAAACCTGGATGAAGATGGAGTGGAGCCCAACTTCTCAATCAGGTCACAGCCTGATGGCACCTCCTTGTGGGTGTGGCTTTTTGTATAAGAAAGAACCTGAACAGACTTGAGCTCTCTTGGCCCGTCACCTGCTGGATCTGGATTCTGCATCTGGTTCATTGCTCTCTTGTCATAGCACTTATCCATCCCAAGAGCCATCAGCGCCTGCTGCACTTGGATTCACTGTGCATCAGTCAGCCTGTGCCCCTTCTGCTTCATCTTCCTGCTTCCTATTGATCAGCTCCTGCAGCTACAGAAGTCAGGAGAAGCCTCCAGCTGACATTTGACCTAGGTTCTTCAACCGACTGGACTTATGTACTTCTACAGCTGTGTAAGGCATTTCTTGATAGAAATCCATTTCTGTGTACAGAGACTTACAATAGTCACTGGTTTTACTTCTCTAGAGAGTGCAGCCAAACTCAGCGATTACATGGACAAGCACATATTTGCAATATGTTAATGGTTTAGGCAGTTCAAATCTGAACAACTGTTATTTTATTGCATTAATTTATAAGATAAATATTTTAGTTTCAAAGATTGAAAAAGTCATAGGAATTGATTACAAATAGTCAAGGCAATTAAAAATGATTGAATAAATAAGAGGGGGCTTGGTCTAATAGAAAAAAGTAATGTATTATAAAAGTGAAATAATTTAGACAGTATTATTAAAATAGGGTTAAACAACTAGATCAGTGGACTAGGTAAAAGAAGCAAGGGAAGATCTTTCTTGATGTCCAATAGTTTATTATTTCAAAACTGTTTTTTAAATCTTTGATGTTTTGGTAGGGTTTTTTCATAAATGACTTAGAGACACCTAAATAGAAGTAATATTAGATCTTCACAAGGTACCATACATAAATTAATGTAATCATAATCTTTTACAGGTGAGATTCCATTGGAAACAGTGTAATGGTCATGCAGGAGATTTATTGGGGAATGTTCTTGGGAACGAGAGAAACAGAGTTGGACACAGAGAAAAGTTAAAATGTGATTCAGTTGAAACAAAGATTTCAGCTGATTCACAGTAAACTTTGAAGTTTCTGTTTAAAGTGCTCTTTAGAGATGTGCTGAATTGTAAATATAAGATAACCCGAAGAAAGGGAGTGCCTTTCTCGGGGTACAGTACCTTTCTCGGGGTACAGTGCACTTTGACAGACAACTATTTCTCTGGAGGGATTCATAGCAACGTTCAGCAAGCTAAACTCCCAGATGCTTTGGGAACAGATGCTTCTGTTTTTAAGGGACAATCTGGAAGGGTGCTGTCACATGCACTATGGTGCCGCCACTATGAATAGCTCAAAGAGCATTTGGTTGTTTATGTTCTCCTCAATTAGGAAATGCTCCTCCAGAATTTGGTCTCGTGCCATTACTTGACGAAGCTTGTAAAATAGTGTTCCCATCTCCCAGTGAAACTGCTTTAATGGTCACTATGAACGCCCATCATCACTCCCAAATTCCTCATTTCCTTCACTCTCAGTATCATTGCTTGGTGAGATTATCAAGACCCTCAATTCCAAGAGCTCTGAGGCCCTGCCTGTAGCTCCAGTGAATTACCTGGGAGACAAATATGTTTATCCTCACCCTCATTGTGGAAAAGTCATAGCAGTCTTGCCTCCTTCTCAATTGGATCTGACAGAAGATGAATCCTTTCTTTATTTACCCAAAGGGTTAATGGCAGATGCTAAATACTCATCAGGTTTGCTTAGACAACATCTGCACCAGACTCCCAGCAACCCACCCAGAGGGTCTGCTTAGGGGGAGGGGCCTGCAGTGGCTATTGGAATTTCAGGGGGTAGGAGGAGACAAGCTATCTTAGAGTTATAAAACCTGCTCTGAAAGGCCCAAAGAATTTCCCTCTGAACCTCAGTGCTCAGGCCTACCACCCTGCTGCCACAATACTGACTTGTTTCAGCTTTGTTCCTTCTCAGCTAGTCCTGAATAAAAACGAGCTACTCAGAACTTTGGACTGGCCAGGATGCCGAACAATCCATACTATTATTCCCAAAGCAGTTCCTACCAGTCAAGGGTAAAATCCCCCAAGAGGACTCCTTCAATTTATTTTCTCCATATAGATCCTATATTTTGAAAACTGCAACTAGGGCATAAACTCAAGAAAAAAGGAATTTTATAATTTTATTAATCAAATATTTTACAAAACTAAAATATATAAATATATATTAATTGACCCTACAATCACCTATACTCTGCCAGTCCCAAACCCCAAAAGCTTAAAGTTCCATTAAGTTATCAGACCTGGTGGCATAGTGTTTATGCGTTCAGAAGCCAACTGCAACATCAGCAGTTCGAAACTACCAGCCATTCTGCAGGAGAAAGACTGGGCTTTCTACTCCCATAAACAGTTAGCATCCCAGAAACTCACCAGGCCACTTCTACCCTGTCATATAGGTCGGTATGGACTTCTTGGCAGTGAGCTTTTAAAATTTTTATCAACTGTAATAGATTAAGTGAATGGTTTCCTTTGGTTTGGGGAGATACTGTGTATAATCACAAAACCCCAACAACAGTTTTAAGAATTGCACAGGCAGAAACTTAAACTTCTCTGGATGGACTTTATATCCAAGGAGACTAAATTCAAATCTGGGGAATGAAAATTAATGAAAACTTTGTTTCTTCCCAGGGTTGGATTTTTAAAGTCATGGGATCCAAGTGTCTCTGTCTCACTGCCACTTGATTCCAGCTCATGTGGTGAGTCTATAGTACAGGGTAGAACTGCCACTGTGGGTTTCCAAACTGGTAACACTTTACAGGAATAAGAAGCCCCATCTTTCTCCCGCACAGTAGCTGGATTTTTCTGCAGTTATAACTGCAGTTAGCAGCACAATGCATAACCAGTAGGCAACCATGGCTCCTATGTAACTCATAGTGCATTAAAGTTCACACAATGAAGCCCTCATCAGAATACTTGAAAAAGATTACATGCAAGAGGGTCTCTCCCCAAAAATAAAACAGGCAAAGAGCTCCATTGGGTGGGGCTTTCATAGTACATATTTTTCCCACTAGACATTATCCAGCAACTCACTCTGAGTTAATGCACCCGGTGGTGTTGCCTGAAAAGGTTTTCTCTGGTTACAGTGAATTTTTTCATAAAAGCAGTTTTGCTTGAACCTCATTTTTTTTGTAATGGCCAATTTAAGAGAACAGTGTGCATCTGTGAAATTTTGTTTCTTTCTCGGGAAAAATGCTGCAGAAACTGTTGATGTTGAATACAGCTTACAAGGACAGAACTATGTGGGAAAAGTCAAGTGTATGGGTTGTTTTCTCATTTCAAAAAAGATGAAATGCCAATTGATTACAAACCTCGCTTTGGACATCCATCAACGATGGACGAAAACATCGATAAGATTTATGCAGTTGCGCTCAATTGCTGACCATTGAAGAAATGGAAAAGTTATCTGAACTATCTTGGAGCTCATTTCCGTGAATGTAATGGAAGATTTGAGAATGAGAAGGGTCGCTGTGAAATTTGTGTCTCAGGTTCTGACTGACCAGGAAAAAGAGCGTTGAGTGGGAACATGCTGTGCTTTGAGAGAACAGCTCTGAAACGACCAGACATTTTGACTTTGATAATGAACCTGCTATCAGCACCAGAGTGAGTGTCATAAAGGCCATTGCTGGTGAGGAGACATGGTGCTATTCTTACAGCTCCAAAAGCAAACATCCATCAAGCCAGTGGAAGATTCCATCATCACCTCACCAAAAAAAAAAAGTCAAGTGAAATCAGAGATCAAGATGATGTTCTTTTGTTGTTGTTGTTGTTGTGAGGGTGATAGTGCATTTGGAGTTTGTTCCACCAAGTCAGACTATTAATTAAGCTTTCTATTTAGAGGTTCTGAAAAGATTGTATAACAGTGTGGGACAAAAAAGGCCTGGTTTGTGGCAGACAGGAGACTTGTTTTGCCACCACAATAATGCACCTTCATTTTGGCACACACAAAAAAGCATGCCTCTCTTGCCTCATGTACCTTACTTCTCTTACCTCTCTATGAGAGACTTCTTTTTGTTTCTGAAAATGAATAGGGACATGAAAGGTGATTTGGTGATGTAGAAGAGATGAAGAAAAAATGAAGGAGGTGCTGTCAGCCATGAAACAGATGAGTTCAAAAATGTTTCCAAGAGTGGAATCACAGATTTGACAAATGCATTAAATGTATATTATAAATGTATTATATATATATATGTATATATGTATATATATATATATACATAACTTTGAAAAAATCCAGGTTTGGGGGGTATTCTCTTGTATCTCAGGAGTGGTAGTGCAGCTACAGAGCAAGATCCTGATCCACTCAGCGTTATTTTCTTCAGGTGCATTTCATTACCTCGAAAAGCCAAACATTATGAGTTCCTTGCACACAGATGTCCTCTGCAGATCAAGACCACAACCATAATGAGAAGTTAAACTGCCAAGCAGCTTTGAACCACGGATAAACAAATTTAATAAACATTGCTCAGAAGGTACACATGAATGATGGTCAAGGTTATTTCACATCTGCCTTTCTCTAACAACTCACCCCCCTGTCATGGTCTTTCTTCCTGGGTAAAATGGTTCCACTAGGTTGATGCCTACAATTATTTCACAGTAATTCCAAGCGTTAACTCAGACTTGATAATCAACCTGCTACCAGCATCTGAGTGAGTGCCATAGTTAGGCTAACAATACCACTAGTAGTCCTTCCACCTCAGAGAGAGACCAAGTGCATATTTAAGCATTCAACAAACAAGCAAGCTTGAAAAATATTGTTTTTCTCCTTCCTTACGCAGGTCGCCGAAATGTTATTTTTAAAATGGCATGGACCTAGGTAAGCAATCTCCAGCATTATAATGCATCAAGATTAAATACATAAGAATTGACAGTCCTTTTGCTAGACCCCAAATTAATCATTGCATTTCCAGTAAGCTAAGAGCTCATGATTGCTTTCTTTTGCTCCCAGACAGTTCATTCTCTTATGAAAATTGTGATGCTGAAAAAGGCTGGACTTTGTAGAAAGAACACTGGCCAAAATAATGCCTTGGTCTGTGGACAGCACTATAGAGTATGCAGTTTGAGTCCTGTTACCATCATAGTTGTAAGTGTTCATAGATCTACAGACACCTTTAACCCTGTTGTTTTGGACTAGCGCTTAATGCTTGTAGACTAGCTAACTGAGGCACAGTGTGATTTTTTTTTTTAAGTGCGGACAATCTTAATGATTTACAAAATATGTATTTGTGGATTCCCTATTGGCTAAAATTTATTTGCAGCCACCAAATCAATATTGTTGATGTTTCCATAGTCATTTGTTACTATGTGCAGAGCAACAAAAAATTGCCTGATGCACAAAGTCCCAACTAAGGGTAAGAAAGCAAAGCTCTCCTTTCTTGTTTCAGCTCTTAGAGTGTAAACAAGTGTCCTTTTAAGCAGTCTATTTGGTGGCATTTTTTTTTCTTGCCTTTTTTTCAAGGTGATTTTGGCTACTGAAATAATTCCCAAGTATGATGTTGAAGTACTGCCTAGTGTTCTTATTATGCACAAGGCCATCGTGTGCCTTACAGAGAAAATACAAGTATTATATAAGCTTTGTTTGGGTATGAGTTATAATGCTGTTGACCAAGAGTTCAGTGTTAATCAACACTTTATTTTAAATAAGGTATCCTTAAACAAAAATAGACATACAACAGACTCATGTATAGAACAATTGACAAAAGATGTTCTCACCAAAGGCTAACAGGAAGTTAATCCTGTATTTCCTCAGGGAACTACAAATCTGAATTTGTTAACATAGCGTCCACAGTAACTTGATGGACTAAAAGTGTATTTAGTTCATAATGCGATGAGACAGATATATGTGCTTGGGTCAAATGTAGAGATGTATAGCATATAAAGTTCACAGGAAAGATAATGCAAAGCCAACAGAGCTTCCAATATATCAAGTTGTTTTTGTTTTTTTTTAATTGTAACAAATTAAAAAGATCAAATGTCTATATACAGAGCTTCATATATTCTCTGGGGCAGAAATCCTGCTTAAAGGCAAGCAGAAAGAGAACTAGCATAAGGCTAACCCTATAAAGAAATAGTGATTTGAGAAAATTATAGCAATCAATGAATGTGATTGCAACAAACATTGATTTATTGAACTAAAGCAGGCATGACCCTACCCTCAAAACATTCACTATTTTTTAAAAAGATACTAATTAAGTAATATATACTAAAAACCGTGATGAAAAATATATAGAAAGCAGAGAGACAGAACTACTAGAATGTTATGCAAATTTCCATCAATGGAAGAATGGATTGAAAAACTGTGGTACATACATATAATGGAGTACTACACATTCCTATAAACAAGCCAACAAACCCAAGAGCAAGGGAAAAACAAGTGATCTAAAGTCGATGGTGAGGAGGGCATAGGATGCCTGGTGGGGCTTGATCAAATGCAATATAGCTGAGAGGAGTGACTGAAGCCTGAATGTTGGCCAAACATGATAGTGGGACATGAGAAAAGTAAAAGGAAATAGAGGAAACAACTAGGAGGCAAAGGACATTTATAGAGGGTCTAAATACAAGTATGTACATATATAAATATGTTTATATATAACCAAAGGGAAATAGATCTATGTACATATATTTATATGATAAGTATTAAGATAACAGACAAGACATTGGGCCTCTACTCAAGTGCTCCCTCAACACAAGAACACTTTGTTCTAATAACCTGGCATTCTGTGATGCTCACCTTCCAGCCAAGATTGCTGAAGAGAAAATGGGTGCATAAGCAAATGTGGTAAAGAAACCAGATGGTGCCTGGCTATCAAAAGCTATAGCATCTGGGGACTTAAAGGCTTGAAGATAAACAAACGGCCATCTAGCTAGGAAGCAACAAAGCCCACATGGAAGAAGCACACCAGCCTGTGTGGTCATGAGGTGTCGATGGGATCA